GCTGGGACTACAGGCACCCGCCACCTCGCCCGGGTAGTTTTTTGTATTTTATAGTAGAGACGGGGTTTCACCGGGTTAGCCAGGATGGTCTCGATCTCATGACCTTGTGATCTACCCGTCTCGGCCTCCCAAAGTGCTGGGATTACAGGCTTGAGCCACCGCACCCGGCCAACATCTTTTGTAGTCACATGGAGAGTACTTGGAAAAAATTGATGATGTCCTAGACAGAAAAGCTAGTCTCAACAAATTTCAAAAAATTGGTATCACATATAACAGAATTTCTGATCACAGTAAAAAATCAGTTAACAAAAGGATAAGTAGAAAAACTTCATACATCTAAAATTTTAAGAACACTTCTAAATTCTTGAATCACAGAAAAAATTATAAGGAAAATCAAATATATTTAAAACCAAATTAAATGTATTATATAGTATATATTATATATTTATATTATATTATTATATATTTTTTTTTCTTTTTCTTTTTTTTTTTTTTAATTTTAGAGATGGAGTTTTGCTCTTGTTGCCCAGGCTGGAGTGCGATGGTGCTATCTTGGCTCACCGCAACCTCTGCCTCCTGGATTCAAGCAATTCTCCTGCCTCAGCTTCCTGAGTAGCTGGGATTACAGGCATGCGCACCATGTGGGCCCAGCTAATTTTGTATTTTTAGTAGAGATGAGGTTTCTCAGTGTTGATCAGGCTGGTCTAGGAACTCTCAACCTCAGGTGATCCACCCGCCTCGGCCTCCCAAAGTGCTGGGATTACAGGTGTGAGCCACTGTGCCTGGCCAGTAATATATTTTTACATAAGAATTTGTGGGACAACTGAAGCAATAGTAAAATAAATTTATAGCTTTAAATGTTCACATTAGTAAAGAAGAAAGATACAGTGAGGTTAGAATAGCCCACTGACATAAAGTAAAAGGAAATTATAAGGATAAAGATAGAAATTAATGAAAAGAACATAAACACATAATAGTATCCATAAAGACAAGTCAGTAATTGAAAAGAGTAATAGACAAATTTCTGGCAAGCAATTTTTTTTAAGAGGAAGGGCACAAATAGCATTAGGAATGAAACAGCATAACTGGCGGCACGCTCAGGATTTCACGTCGGGTGAGAGGCTGGCTCTTTGATCAGCTCTGTGCTTAAAAATCCAAAACCTTAGATAAAATGGATAAAACTAAAAAGGAAACAGCAAAACTAACTGAAGAAAACCTATAAATAGAAATCTGTAATCATGGAAGGTATGGAATCAGTATTTTAAAATCCTCCCCTTCTGCAAATCCACCCAGAGGGCTTTGCTGGTAAATACTAACAACATTCAAGAAACAATCCTACCTTCACACAAACTCCTTTAGGGAACAGGAAAATAGAGAATATTCCTACTCATTGTATGAGACTAGCATAAGCCTAACGGTAACACCAGACAAGGGCAGTGCAGTGTGAGAACAAACATTTCAGGCCAGTCTGGTTATGAATATAGATGCAAAAATCTTAAGGAAAGAAACAATTACAAAACCCAAGCCAGGGAAATATTTTATAAGTTGTAGTACCTTACGAAGAACTTTGTTTGCAAGAACCAACTCATTAGAAAATTTACAAATGTACCATATTAACAGATTAAAACAGAAAAAATTTGGTTATCTTAGAGGCAGAGACTATTTGATAAAATTCATTAGCCATTCATTTCCAAATTCTAGCAAACTTGGAATAATAGGGAACTTCCATAACCTGATAAAGGGCTTCTGAAAGGAAAAAAGCCTATAGCTAACACTGAACTTTACGGTAAAATATTGAAAATTGATCCTGTAACATCAAGAGCAAGACAAGGATACCGACTACCAGCGCTTCTATTTGATGGTGTAACTGGTGATCCTAGCCAATGCAGTAAGACAAGAAAAAGAAAAAGTATAAAGGACTAGAAAGAAGACACTAAACAGTCATCATTTGCAGGTGATGGGATTGTACATAGAATATGAAAAAATTTCTACAGAGAAGTTATTAGAATTAAGAGTTATTTGAATTATTATTGGAATCAATAATTGGAATGACTTCTAATTAACAGTTTAGCAAGATTGTTGGGTGTAAATGAGTATGCACAGTTGTTTCTCTGCATAAAAATAGATTATGAAAAGTTTAAAAGATACTACTTCCTAGGAATAATACTTAGTTCCTAGGAATAAATCTTACAAAAGTCGTACAAATCTCTATGGGAGATAAAGGGTAAAAATGAAAAAGATTAAATTCCACCAAAAGATACTAAAACTTAAGTAAATGCAGAGATATCATGTGGTCTTGGTTTGGAAAACTCGCTATTGTAATAACGCTTCTCCCCAAATTGATCTGGAATGCAATGCAATTCTGGCCAAAATCCCCAAAATATTTAATTTTTCTTGTTTCTTAACTTTTTGTGTGTGTGTGTGTGTGACAGAGTCTCGCTCTGTCGCCCAGGCTGGAGTGCAGTGGCATGATCTCCACTCACTGCAAGCTCCGCCACCTCCCAGGTTCATGCCATTCTCCTGCCTCAGCCTCCCTAGAAGCTGGGACTATAGGTGCCTGCCACCACGCCTGGCTAATTTTTTTGTATTTTTAGTAGAGATGGGGTTTCACTGTGTTCTCCAGGATGGTCTCGATCTCCTGACCTCGTGATCCGCCCGCCTTGGCCTCCCAAAGTGCTGGAATTACAGACATGAACCACTGCACCTGGCCCCTTGCACATTCTTAATTATCCTCACAAACACTGATGAGAATTCTTGATATCTGATACAGCAAATCACAATCTTGTTTTGGCTATTCTTGGCCCTCTGCTCTGCTCTAGTCATCTTAAAATCATCTTATCAAGTTAAAAAACAAAAGTTGGCCAAGGCTGAGGCAGGAGAATGGCGTGAACCCGGGAGGCGGAACTTGCAGTGAGCCGAGATCACGGCACTGCACTCCAGCCTGGGCAACAGAGCAAGACTCTGTCTCAAAAAAAAAAAAAAATGTGCAAGGATGGAAATAGATAAATGTAGGGAGCCCAGTAATAAGCCCACGAAGACTTGACTTACGACAGAGGAGGCCCTGCATACCATGACACGAGGAGTGGATGGACTCTAGTCCATGCTGCCGGGATGAGTCAAGAAGAAAGTAATCATAAGGGACAATCGGTGAAAGACTCAAATCGGCACCTCATAGGAGAAGAATCATGAGTGACCCATGAGTATATGAAAAGATGCACAGCCTCATTAAAGAACAGGGAAATGCAAATCAAAACCACAATCAAATAACTTTTCAGCCCACCAGATTGGCACACATGGGAAAGTAAGCTAATACTAAGCATCAGAGAAGTTATGAGACAACTCCTGGGGCAGCAAGACTGGTACTCGCTGCTGGACGGAACATAAACTTGTGCCACCATGTGGAAATACTTGTAGCATTCCTCAGTGAAGGCAGAGGTACCCATGACCCAGCAACTTGTGTATACATATGAACAAGAACAAGCAGCAAAACCAAATGAGTATCCTTCAACAGAGGAATCATGACTTTTTTTTTCATAGAGTGGAACAAAACAAATTCCAGCTCCACCTCAACACAGATGACTCTCAAAATGTGGAGTGAACAAAGCCAGCCACAAAGGAATGTGTACTATTCATATCAAGTTCGGAAAATAGGGACCTGGCATGGTGGCTCACACCTGTAATCCTAGCATTTTGGAAGACTGAGGCAGCAGGCTCGCTTGAGCCCAGGAGTTTGAGACCAGACTGGGCAACACAGTGATACCCCATCTCGACAAAAATTAGAAAAAAAAATTTGCCGGGCGTGGTGACATGCCTGTAGACCCAGCTACTTGGGAGGTGGCGGTGGGAGGATCACTTGAGCATGGGAGGTGGAGGTGCAGTGAGATGGAGGCACAGTGAACTGTGCTTGTGCCACTGCACTCCGGCCTGGGTGACAGTGAGACCCTATCTGATAAATAAATGAAAACACACACATACATACACATAATATACATGTGTGGTGTGTGTGTATTCAGAAAATAGGCACAACTAGCTAAAGGTATTCCTACGAGATAAACTAGAAGGAAAAGCAAGAGAAAGGCTAATAGTTCACAATGTTTGGGGTAGGAATGTCATTGGGGAGGCACTTTCTGGTCCCTGTGAGGCAGCAGTGGTGTCTGAACACTTGCAGTGCCCCACAAGAAGGAAGGAGATGTGGGTTTTATTTTATATGTACTCATATATACACAGATCTGTCTACACATAAATGAAAGATGCACATCACAGCACTGACACTTAACATTAGATGCACTCAGATGTTTTAGAGTCTTTGTGTGTGTGTGTGTGTGGTTTTTTTTGTAGGTTTTTAAAAAAATTTTTTCTCTGTTCTTTTTTTTAAAGTCAGTTGTGACCCACTAAATTGATTTTGTCACTCCCTGTTTGAAAGTGTTTTATTGCTTAAGTTGAGTGGTAAGTACGTAGCCGTTTGTTTTATTCCTTTTTATACAGGACTCACCCATTTTATGTACGCTTCTGTCAGAAAGCAGAAACCACTCAAAGCACGTGGGGAGAAGATGCCTCTGTGCCTCTAGAGAGTCTGGGCTGAGCTGGGAGGGCTGCCTGGGGTCCCTTGTCTGGGGAGGGAGCCTGGATTCTGTGGGGAGATAGGTTTGTTTCAGGTAGTCCATTGAAGTGGGGTTGAGCTCAGGAGCCCTTTGGAAGCCCCCTGTATGGTGGGGAGCTTGGAGAAGACCTCTTTCAGCTGCTTCCTCTGGTCAGTACTGGAGGACAGGGAGAGGCTATCCTGGGACATGCTGGCCTAGCATGCTCCCTTCCCAGGGTTGTTGGCCCTGGGCCCCAGCTGTGTCCCTCTTTGCTGGCGTGGGACAGTACCCTTTCGATGGCTGTGTCTCCTGGCACAGGGCACAGACCCTGGTGTGGCCGGCAGTATCCTTTTCCCTCCTCACCCCAGCTGCCCAGACCCTCTGCAGGCATTTCTGAGCCCTGACCTTGCCTTCCAACAGGTACCAAGCCAGCTGCCTCTGTTGACCCATGGGGGGTGCCCACTGGAGCCAGCACACAGTCTGTCCCCAAGAACTCGGACCCCTGGGCAGCTTCACAGCAGCCTGCCTCCGGTGCCGGGAAAACAGCTTCTGACGCATGGGGTGCAGTCTCCTCCACCAAGCCCGTGTCTGCCTCTGGTGAGCCCCTCACTCACCCACCTTTCTGCCTGGCCTCTGAGAGCCCATGGGCCCTGCAGCCGCTCCTGGCTCCTAGGCATCAGCCCTGTTGCTTTGCTTGCATTTGCTCCCCTCCTCCCCCTTAACCTTTGTTCCTGATCCCCATATCCCAGGCACCCCAGTGTGACAGTGAGTGCGAGCGAGTTCCCAGGTTTTGTGCACTGGTACCTCCCTCCAAATTGAGGGGGCTTCTGATGGGGTGTTGAGAGAGGAGACTGCCCTGGGCCCATAGCCTGTGGGTCCTGTCCTCACCCCTGGGGGACTGGGCAGGCTGGCCTCTGGGCAGTCCTTCTGGTGCCTTCCTACAGACCCTCATCCAAGCAACCAGACCCAGCTTGATGCGCCTCCACCACTGCCAGCACCCCTTTCCCTTTTGGGGTGGGGGTGGTAGAAGCACTAGCAGGTGAGCATCCCATACCCTGTCCTGGGAGGCCGGGCTCCCTGTCTTCCCTCCCAGCGCACTGGTGACCCGATCCTGTCTTGCCTTTTTGGCTCTCAGAATTCTCCTCCATGAGGCAGGGTAAGCGGGGAGAGGCCCCTGTTGCCAGCCCATCCTGAGGGTGTGCACTGGGCAGTGGAGTTGCCACGAAGTCCTGTGAGGTGCTCCCAGTCACTGGCCTCTATGTCCACCCAGGGTCCTTTGAGCTCTTCAGTAATCTGAATGGTACAATTAAAGACGACTTTTCTGAATTTGACAACCTTCGGACTTCAAAAAGAACAGGTATGTACAGGTGATGGTGGTTTCTGTAATCCTCCGTGCATTTGACCAGCTCAGTTATTGCAGAAATAGTAGTTTTCAAAACCCTTCAACTTTCTGCATGTTCTTTGTATTTTGATCTTGGGAGCCTGAAGCTTCTCATTCTAAGAAGTCGTACATCAATAGTTAAAAATCACAAAGTGGAGTCCCCCAGGACTGTGTCTCCAGGTTAGGAAGCCCCAAGACTTCGTGCAGATTCCACAGCCCCAGCCTCCCCAGCTCACAGTGGGCCTCACGTCCGGCCTGATCCAGCACTTCCATTCACCTTCCTCCTGCTAACTTCCAGTCCTCAGAGGGCCTCCTTTTCCCAGACAGCAACCTTTGGGCATCAGTGGGGCCAGCCTCTGCCCTGTGTTGTCACCTCTCAGGTGACAGCTCCAGCCCAGCAGACCCACAGTCCAGTCTCCAGACCTGTTTTCCTTCCCTGTGTGCCCCTGGGATGGAAGGGTATCAGGTGAATGCAGAAGGAAGGCGCGTGTGGGCCAAGGTGGGCCTGGAGGCTGGAGGGAGAAGGCCTGGGATGCATTCTTCACACACCCTATTTGGCCTGCGGTGTGGCAGCCTCTGTCCATCTCTGGGCCACATCTCCCAGCCATGCATGGCAACGTCTCTCTTTTTTCTTTCCTCTCGGCTTCTGCTGCTTGCCCCCACCAATTTCCCTACCACCTCTCTCCCAGTCTCTTCCTTCTCTCCCTTCTTTTTTAGCCCTCTCTACCAACTGCAGCCACAAGGCTGGCTAGGCCCTGGTGTGAGGTACAAGCAACCTGGCACCCATGACCCCACTTGACCCCCTTGACCTCCTCCAACACCTCTCAGTTCAGGAGCTCCCCGCCGGGAGACGGAGGCAGCTTTGAGAGTGTGCTGCTTTTCTGGGTCTTTGCTGCGTTAATAAGATTCCATGTGTCTTCTCTGCAGGCCAAAGTATAGCCTAACTTGTCCTTGCCTCCCACTCCGTGCCTCAGTGAGAAGGCAGCTTGGCCATTGTTACACGTCAGCTTTCGAAACATTCATCCCCTGCTGGTGCAGTGGCTCACGCCTGCAATCCTGGCACTTTGGGAGGGCCAGCGTGGGAGGATTGCTTGAGCCCAGGAGTTTCAGACTAGCCTAGGCAACATAGTGAGAACCCCGTCTCTTCAAAAAAATTTAAAAATTAGCCAGATATGGTCGTGTGCACCTGCCTGTGGTCCCAGCTACTCAAGAGGCTAAGGCGGGAGGATCCCCTGAGCCCAGGAGATCGAGACTGCAGTCAGCCTTGATCGCCCAGGCTGGAGTGCACTGGCATTATTGGTTGTTTTTTGTTTTGTTTGTTTGTTTTTGAGTCTTCTTTGCTCAGTTCACATTGTCAGATAGAGTTGTCCTTCCCCTTGCCTCAACTTTTATGGATTAACAGATTGAAAACATTTTCTCATGACTTTAAAATTTGTTAAAAATACTTTGTTGCTATATAATCTCTCTTTGTATGGCTCAGCAATAATTCATTAATTTGGGGGAGGACACTTTAGGTTGATATCAAGTTTTGCTACTGTAAGTGATGCTGTTGTGAAGCTCTTTGTGCTTACAATGTACCCTGTTCACATTTTACATTATTTGCTTAGACCAGATTCCTAGAAATGGGGTTACTGAGGGAGAGAATGACTGTTAAGAACTCCTGTACCATGAAGCATCCTGTCATGGCAATCGCTTTTCTACTGGCGTGTGTCACCTCTATGGGCTGAATTAAAAAAAAAAAACAATTTGCTCTCTTTTTACTGTCAAGAAGTTCATGTTTATTATGGAAAATTTAGTAAATGGAAAATGTTTAAAAAAAAAAAAAAAAAGTAAATTGCCCATGCCTAGCCTCTACCCCAAAATGATATCTTGGTATTCTGGAGGAATGAGCTGTACACACTTTTGTAACCTGTTTTTTTTCCTACTTAGTATTTTGATAAGCTTTCTTTGCTCATCATTCTGGTGTTTGGTCATATGGACACTTGATTTATCTAACCCAGCCCATGACTGACTGTGTGTCGTCACGTGGCACTGTCAGGCAGGCATGTTCCCAGGAGGCCATGTTTTGTGTTAAGTACACAGTCTTAGGCTCTTCCTGCCACACTCACCCTGCCATTTGTGTCCTTGTTTTGCAGCCGAATCTGTGACCTCTCTGCCATCCCAAAACAATGGAACTACCAGCCCTGACCCCTTTGAGTCTCAACCCCTGACCGTTGCCTCAAGCAAGCCCAGCAGTGCCCGGAAAACACCTGAGTCCTTCCTGGGCCCCAACGCAGCCCTGGTGAACCTGGACTCACTGGTGACCAGGCCCGCCCCACCAGCCCAGTCCCTCAACCCTTTCCTGGCACCAGGTAGGCTCTCATCCCAGGCTTCATCCAGCTGCCTGCTATGCCTGAGAATGGGTGTGCAGCAGGCCTCTTGGGGGCTCTTCCACTCTGTGACAGGGAAGGGGTGGGACTAGCTGGAAACTCTAGATTAGCACACATGCCCTCGCCAGGGCCGCCTAGGGTGGGGTGTGGAAGCCGTTGTCAGTTATGTGGGGAGGGTATGGGTAGGAAATAGCTCCTTTCCTCTCAGTTGAGACTGCCAAGCAGAAGGTGTCCCTGACTTGGTGCCCCCCGGTTGTGAGACCCTCAAGGGAGTGTCAGTTCTAAGACAGGTGGAGTAGGGTGGGCTGCTAGGGGTGAGGAAGAGCCAGGGTTTGACGTGTAGCACACCTTTCTTGGGAAAAATGTAACTTAGCCCTTGGGTACAAGCCTTCCTCCAGGTCCCTCGCTTACACTCCTGATGCCAGAGTCTGCCTCCTGCCCTCAAGGCTCCACGTTGGCTGCTGGACAAGCCCCCAGCTGTTCAATTGGGTATCCAGGGCCATTATGGCCTGGCCCCACTCTCCTCTTCCCTCCCTGTGTGCATGAAACCCTTGTGACACCCAGCCCCTTGGCACCCCTCAACCTGTAGAGCCCTTCCTTAAACCCAGGCTGTTACACACTCAGTTTCCCCTGCCTGGAATGTCCTCCCTCCTCTTCCCCAATGAAAGCATCTTACTCCTCCTTCGACACCCAGTTCAGATGACCCCCCTTCTAGGAAGTCCCCCCAGCCCCTTTCCTCACATGTTTCCCAAGGCCTTGGGTGTCCCCCAGGGCAGGAATGTGTCACCCTCAAGTGTTCAGCCCCTGACTGGCCCCACCATGTAGGGATCTGAGAATCTTGGGCCACCGTCCCTGACAGTACCTTGCAGAGGAGAATGACCACTGAACTTACAGAGGCTGAGGTTGGGGACCCTTGGACAGAAGTGAGGTGTGTGGAGTTCCTGGGTCCTGGCTAACCCCGAGGTCCTGCGATGGGTTGAGGACATGGCTGCCCCTAGAGGAGGTGGTTCCCCGGGTGGAACTAGATTAGCTTCCAGGCTCCTCAGCCAGCCAGGAGTCTGTGTCTGACCCAGGAGGCCTTATTCCTCTTCTGCCCAGAGAGCCCTTGAAGGCCCTGCAGGAGCTCTAGTGGTCATCTGTGTCCATCAGCTCTTGGTAGGCACCTGGCTGGAGGCCTGAGGCAGCTTTGTTGGCTGCACACCAGTCATGGTCCCTGGGGGCTGCAGCCAAGATGGAGGAGGTTTGGGCAGCTCTGCTGGACATACAGGGCCATTCTCTAGGCCACTCAGGGTAGGGCCAGGCTGCCTGGAAGAGTTGGTGCCGGCAGCACACATAATTTTGCAAAGAAAAGGCTTTCTAGTGTGAGGTAAATTCTGGAGACACTGGGAAAGACAAGGCTGCATCAGCTTCTTGAATGCAGGACTTCTAGCCTTCGCGATGTCGTATGTGGGTCCCTGGGTGCAGTGTGGGCACTGCCACATGAGCCACACACTGCCAGTCCCATGTCCCCCTCAGCAAACAGAATGAGGGAGCAGTGGCAGCTGATGGCTGGTGAAGGTGTCCTGGGTGCCAGCCCTGCAGAGGAGCCAGGGTGCCCTGAGATGGCTGTGTTCCTGGCACGGCCTTGTTCAGCTTTGTAACGCTGGGCAAATCACTTGGCTTCTCACAGCCTCAATCTCCTCATCCTTAAAGTGCAGATTCATGCAGTCAGCAGATATTTGCTATTGTCTGCCATGGACTTGGCTGGCACCGTCACGGGCTCTGAGGGCACAGCAGGGACCAGAACACCCGCATGGAGTCCCTGACCTGAGAGCTCAGAAGGCCGCACCCTGACGGCTCAGCCTCTGCCCCTTCTTCTGTCTCCCCAGGTGCACCCGCCACCTCGGCCCCTGTTAACCCCTTCCAGGTGAACCAGCCCCAGCCGCTGACGCTGAACCAACTTCGGGGGAGCCCAGTCCTGGGGACCAGCACATCCTTTGGGCCTGGCCCAGGAGTGGAGTCCGTGGCTGTGGCCTCGATGACCTCCACGGCCCCACACCCAGCTCTGGGGGCCACTGGTTCCTCTCTGACCCCACTGGGCCCTGCAACAATGAACATGGTGGGCAGTGTGGGTATCCCCCCATCTGCAGCCCAGGCCACTGGCACAACCAACCCTTTCCTTCTCTAGTGCCTGGCTTGGGACCCACCCAGAGCACCTGTGCTGGAGGATGCTGAGCAGGGACTCTCGTCTGTGGGACGGGATCCAAGAGTTTGGGGATTTAGGGGTATTAGGGCTTTTCAGCTCCAGCTTCCTGATGAAAGGGCTGTCTTTACAGCCCCAACCCTCAGACCCTCGCCTTCCAAGGCAGGCCCACTTGGCCTGGCCTGCTCTCACCACCTCCTCCCAAGCACTCAGGTCCTGGCAGGGCCCCTCTGAGGCCTTGGATGAGGAGGTGGAGTCATCAGTGTTGCCCTTGCCCCCAGCCTCAACCAGAGGGTCTCCAGGACGTTGCCTGTCCCAGGACTTGGGACAGTGGCCTCATCTTTGTCCTCCCCACCCCCCAGCCCTAGGGACACCCCAGGCAGTCCTGGGTGTGGACACGATGAAGCACCTGCTCCATAAGACACTGACCTTTTGGGGAAGTGGTTGTGCATATTTTATTTTTCTTTGACTCGTGTGAGTTCAAAGTAAACACCACCACCATGGACAACTCTTGAATTAAATCCACTAGAGCGAGCTTTAAAACTAATCTGAGCATAACCCCCAACGTGGCTCTATGCTTGTGTACCTTTGCACATATTTTGTTTAGTACAGTTTCATATTTGAGTTTGCAGAATTATCTAATAGTCTTTTTTTGGCTAATATTTTTATAACGTGGTTCTTATTTAACTGTCTAGTTTTGATAGAATTTACCAGGTCTGGCTGAATGAAGATATTGGCACGTGTTATTTTAGTGGTTTAAATCCTCTTATTTATGGTTTTAACTCTAAGAAAATTTTAAAAGGAAGAGATGTTTGGATGACAAAAAAAAATGCCTTATTGAAAAACTAAAGCAAATTCTTTATAGGAAGAAAATATGGGAATTTGATTACACATAGATGATGTTTATTTAAAAAAAAAAAAAAAACTACAACAGCAACAAAAAATCCTAGCCTCCAGTTGCCTTTTCCTTTCTTTAACTCCTGTTTTTGGTGAATTACTAAACTGATTGACTTTCAGCCTTTTTGGCTAGATCCTGAGCGAGAGGCTATTTTTCTTACTGATATACCAACATCCTGAAAGTTAAAGAAAAAAACCTAATGTATGAATGTGACTCACCAGTTTTTATCAACTAATTCCTTTTTTTAATTAAAGGCATGCAGGGATTAACAAGGACTTCTGTTTACAATGGAAATCTGAAATGGAAGAAACATCTTTAACCTTGTGTGTCTGTGATCTCTGTCTTAATCCACACTCAGGCTAAAGATGGGGATAATGTGGAAATGGCAGTTGTCCTGAGGGCATGGGGGTGGGGGTGCTTCTGTGCCCATGGGTCCCTGGGCAATAGTCCCTAGGCTAAGACGGGAGTGGGAGCCTAAGGGACCAGGGCTGGCCCTGATCCACCTACCTGCTAACTCCAGACATTATTTTTAAGTTGGAGACCTAAAAATAATTCTCTTGTATTTTGGAGATGAAGAAAAAAGTCATTCACCCGGTACAGATTTTTAACAAACATGCGTTAATATTACCTCCCTCTTCTAAACTCCTGCTGTCCTCACCTCACCCACCACTGTAAAAGTATTACATCATGCATTAAAGACCAGAAAAAACTTGCTTTTACCCAGGGAAGAGACATTCCCCCAATCCTGTGTCTGGGCAGCTTGCCTGGTGGACGTTTCTGGCCCCGTTTCCACCATGGGAATTTCTCACCTCCAGCTCTAAGGGCAGCCGACCACCTGCCAGCCCCTCTCTGGTTCCAGAAGATCTAACCCTTCGCACTAGCGTAGGAGAGATCTTAAATGGTCTCCGGGCTGCTGGGACATGCAGGCTGTGAGTGAGGACTGCACCCACTCATGCTGTTCCTGAGGCCGCCCTCTCCAGTCCCAGGAGCCATGTCTAGAGTTCCTGACCAGCCACCCTCTGCCAGAACTGCAGGCCTGGGGCTGGGCCTTAGGCTCCTGCTGCCATTCGGGTAAGCCGGTGGCTGGTCTCTTCTGCCAGGGGAAGGGTGGGTGGGGAGGTGCAGTGGGATGGGAGGTGGGATGCTTGCCCAGAAAGGTGCTTTCCTTCAGATGGTGCAGGGTCTGGGCCAGCCTTACAGGTCAGTAGACCAGACTCGACTACTTGGGGTCAGTGATTCTTTTGTAACAGAAGAGCCCTTCATGACACAACTTTGAGGCCCCAACATGACAGCCACTGGGCCACCAGGACCCAAGAAGACAGCCCCCCACCCCATCTTCTGGCACAGGCCATCCCGAGTGCATGTCCCTGTTGCCCACTGCACTGATCATGAAGCCACCGGCCACTGCCACGCGTGTTGGCACCTGTGCCATCATGCTCCCTCCTGATGGGCACTGTGGTGGAGGAAGTCACCCAGCTGTTTCTCAGTCCCAGAGGCCGGTGGCTGGTTTTGAACTTGTGTTGACTGTTGATACTTATTTACTGTATAAATATAATTTATCATTTGTACCATGATGCGGTTTCTGGCTGTGTCCTTCTCCCACCTCATCTTCATCAGTCCTGTTCCACTGGAGGGGGGTGGGAGGTAAGGGAGCCGATTCCTGTGGAGCTTAGTCTGCAGTCAATGAGGACACCAGCCTGGTCCTAGTACCCGTGTGAGCCGGGCATTTGGTTGCCCCTGAACCTCAGGGAAAGGGGGTGGGAGGCCTGCCCTTGGTGAGGTGCTGAGACTGGTGGCCTGCACGGGTGTGCTGGGGGAAGTGCTAGCCACTGCCCTTTACCCTTCCTGTGTCTGCCCTCCTAATGTGGCCTGGTCACTGGTGGAGACTGCTTTGGATGAGGTGGAAGTGACAGTGTGCCAGGTCCCCAGAGGCTTCCTGTGCTCTACCTCCTCTCGTGTCCATGCTGCAGAAGAGCTGCTCTGGGAAGCCACCACCTGTCAGCCGGGGCAGCGGAGGGAGGGAGTGCGTGGAGCTGCGCAGCCAACTGTGTGTTCCTGAGAGGAAGGGCCTGTTGGAGCCACTGGTTCTTAGGTGGCTTGCTGTGCAACAGCTGACCGACACAGAGGGCCTGTGCCTCAGAGCCACCGACCAGAGGAGGGCAGCGGCGAGAGGACACGTGCACCTCCAGGCAGCAGAGGTGGAAGAGGTGCTCCGGTCATGGGAGGAGGCAAGGCCTAGGCAGAGGCGGCTGGGAGACGCTGATGGGAAGGGTTGGAGAGGCCCTGAGACGAACCTGGAGGGAGGCCTGGGACTGCCCTGCAGCCCTCTGCTCTCTGTGTGAGTGCCTGGCTCCCAGTGTCCACGCAAGGACAAACGGACAAGCTTGTCGGAGAGCTAGGAGGCTAGGGGCTGGTGGCAGGGGGTGCCCGTTGAGTGCAGGGGACAGGAGAGAGAGAGAAGGGTATGTGGGATGCTCTTGTTTACGCTGCAGTAACACATCTCCAGGTCTCAGCGGCTTCCCACAAGTTTTTCACAGAAGTCAGTGACTCAGGGACTCAAGCCTCTTTCATGTTGAGACACTGCTTTGACAGACAGCCCTGAAGGTAGCTATGAAGGGAAAAATGGACAAGGGCCAAGCATAGATTTCTTACAGCCAGCCCTGGAATTGCCGCACTGCCACCCACACCAGTGCCAGAATTAGGCCCTCGGCCCCCATCCAGATGTGGGGGGATGGGCAAGTGCAGGCTTCCTTTGTGGCGGAGGGCAGGAGTGGGGGAAATGAGCTTGGTTAACATTGCCAGTCCGGGTCACAGCGAACTCTGGCTCCCAGAGAGTTATTTCAGTTTTCTTCTCAAACAGACCATAAGGTCCTGTGTCCTGGGCTCTGTGGGGTATAGAGCCTTCTCCAGCAAGGCAGACCACAGCCTATAAACTAGAAAGACCTATGATCTGTGCCCTTCCCCCAACAATAACAACAAAGCGGGGCAGGGGTCGGTCCCCACAGTGCAACTCCATTTGGAGGAGCAGAGAATGGGAGAGGCTCCACAGTGCTGGAAGCTGCAGCAGACGGAGGTCGCCTTGCAGTGAGGAGGGAAAGGACCTAATGGTGCCCTGCTCTGGGCTCTGCCCCCTGGTGGGGAGCTGGCCTTTTTTGTATTCCCTTGGCTGCAGCTCTTGGGCCAAGCTCAGCTTTCTCACCTGCTGCCTGTGGGTGGATGGTTCCGGGCCAGGACCTGTTTTGAGTGAGCCAGAGGCTTCAGTCCAGGCTCATGGGCCTTGTAGAGGCACAGTTCCCTAAAAAATGTGACAGTCTTTGTGCTTCTCATCAGTTCCATGTGCAAATAACTGCATTATTTTGGTCAGAGTGTTATTTGGTGGCCCCCGATGGACCTTGTCTCCCAGTGTGGTCTCCCTTACCTGATGGGCATGGCCATATGACTAGATGGGGCCAGTGGCATGATGGCAGCAGGGGTTTGATAAACGCCTGCACACGGAGCTCGATGTCCTGGCATGTTCCGCTGGCAGCCCACCTGTGTCGTACTATGAGAAGTTCAAACACGTGGAGAGGCGACACGGGGGAGAACGGAGGTGTTCTGTCAGTAGCCCCCATGAGCCCCAGACAACAGCCCACCATGTGAGTAATCATGTTGGTCAGCTCAGTGGAACAGCTCCAGCTAGAATCAAGTGTAGCACAGCTGCCCAGCTGAGCCCAGTCCCCTATAGGATCATAAGTGATAAATGATAGTGGTTTTAAATGACAGTTTTGGGGTAATTTGTTACACAGCAATAGACAACTCAAGCACACAAAATTATTTCCTAGACATAAGCTGTCTTATTTCCTTGCTGCCTTACCTCCATGCTTCTCTCAGTGGTAGCTACCATGAGGCCATCTGGGATCATGACGGGAGAGCCACCCCCTTAATTCCATATTTACCAAAAGACCAAGTTATTTTGTTCAGATGATAAGTTTTATTACGCCTTTATTGTTCAAAGCAATTTTCAATCTTATCTCATTAGAGTTCTAGGAAGTCTCCTTTTGCAATGTTTTGATGCTAATTTTTTTTTTTAGATTCTTTGTTGCCTTTCATTTCTGCTTGCAAACTAGCCAGTTCTTTCCTCCTTACTGTGATAGCATTCCAAAATGCAGTCAACAGTAGCCAACTCACACTGCACATCCTCTCTGGTCTGTCCCTTTCCCCTAGAGCTGCTGGCTCTGGGGCACATAAGCTGCCTCCCAAGTTAGCAAGAGTGTCTTAGCAAATGTCTTGTATTTGCATAATACGGATCTCCTGCTGTCCAGCTTATGAGCTGTATTCTTTTTGCCTGCCACGCAACTGCTTAGCCAATGACACTGTTTGTTTTTTCTGTTTTTTGGCTGCAGCAGAAACCCACTCCTTATTTCCATATCATTTGCAATAGAATAGACTGTGCAGGATCAAATAACCCCAAGCTCTCATTGGCTGAGCACAGTATCTTATGAATATTTCTCACTCACAAAAAGCCTGATGGAGATGTTCCTGGCAGTGCTCTGCAAGCTGGGGTGCCCAGACCCAGGCTCCTCCCTTACGATGCTGCTGTCTTCAACGTGTGCCTCAAAGGGTGCCATGGACAAGAACGAGGAGAAGTGCTCGTGCGACACTGAAGTGGGTCAGACCTCTCAGTGGTGAACATCCTTTTCATACTTTGCTTTGGCTAGAACTACTCACATGGACCCACGTTGATGCAACGGGCCTGGGAAATGTAGTCTTCGGGTGTGCCAGGAGAAAAGGGAGATAGTCTGGTGAACACGCAGCTTTGTGACAGTGGCTGACAGCATGGACAGCAAGTGAGCGGGGACCTGCGGGCCGTATGCCTCGACTGTCCTCATGGAGGGGGTCCCACATGCCCAACCACCCCCGAACCCCAGCTTCCCAGGCACTCACGCCTTCAGCCTCTAAATCTCACTGCATCATCTCTTGCCTTGACTGGGCAGGGATGCAAGGAGCTTTGTGAAGTGACAGTGACATTTCTGTGCCTTTGGGGCTGGGTTGTTCATTCTTTTTCTTTTTTGAGACGGAGTCTCCCTCTGTTGCCCAGGCTGGAGTGCAGTGGTGCAGTCTTGGCTCACTGCAACCTCCGCCTCCGGAGTTCAAGCGATTCTCCTGCCTCAGCCTCCCGAGTAGCTAGGATTACAGGCGCCTGCTACCTGTAACGCCTGGCTAACTTTTTGTATTTTTAGTAGAGACGGGGTTTCACCATGTTGGCCAGGCTGGTCTTACAGTCCTACCTCAGGTGATCCGCCTGCATCAGCCTCCCAAAGTGCTGGGATTATAGGCGTGAACCACCACGCCCGGCCTGGTTGTGCATTCTTAAAGTATTCTGGGCCAGGCGCGGTGGCTCACGCCTGTAATCCCAACACTTTGGGAAGCTGATGCAGGCAGATCACCTGAGGTCAGGAGTGGAAGACCAGCCTGGCCAACATGGTGAAACCCTGTCTCTACAAAAATACAAAAATTAGCCAGTTGCAGTGGCACATGCCTGTAATTTTAAGCTACTCAGGAGGCTGAGGCAGGAGAATCACTTGAACCCGGGAGGCAGAGGTTTCAGTGAGCCAGGATTGTGCCACTGCACTCCAGCCTGGGCAACAGAGTAAGACCCTGTCTCACAAAAAAAAAAAAAAAAAAAAAGTTATGCATTTTGTTGTATGTAAATGTCCTCTCAGAAGAACACACTAAAGCCAGACACTGGATTCTGGTTAATGGTAAGTATGCTAAAACATACGGAAGGTGGAGTCCTGATGTCGTGGTTTATTTTGAAATGCAATAAAAGTAGGATGGATTGAAGCAGGGATGAATAGTTGGATAGATGTGAATATGAAAGTACGGAACAGGAAATTGGTAATGGTAGAATCTAGGTGGTGGGTATGTGGTGGTCACTGTAAAATGATGTCAACTTTTCCATGTTTAGACATTTCAGTAATGTTGAGAAAAACTGGAAAATTAAACATAACCAGAAGAGGGTGACTTAGTATTTCCCAGCTGCTGACAGGCTGGACAAATGGGGCCTGACGCTTGAACAGGCACGCCACAGGCTAGAGGCTTCAGGAAAGAAGTTTCAGGTCCCCTTTATGTGGCCCAAGGCCAGTGGCCTGGGTGAGGTGAGGCCATGGACAGAGAAAACAGCTTTCTGGAGCGCTGTGATAAAATGGGGCAGAGGACAGGAGCAGCTGGGGGTGCTGGGCTTTTGCTCTGTGTCATCCCGTGACACATATGGGGCACATGTGGAGGCTGGTGTGCAGGAGCCTGTGCAGGAAAACTCACGATGGAGGGAGATGGGGAGAAGACCCTTGAGAGCTGCATCTCCCACATACCCGAGCCTTGTCCTCAGGTAGGGTCAGGAAGGCAGCTAATGTGGGGTCGTTGTGGGAACGGGAGGGAGCACCTCAGCTAAGCTGGCAGGGAGGGTGCTGGAGGTCTGGAGAGACAAAGGCTGTAAGTTTCCTCAGAGAATGCATGAGGGAGTTGTCTAAGGAAACATAGACCTGGGCCATGGATGGAACGCGGGCCGTCGTGGCTGTAGGGGCTCAGGCAGGTGCAGGGCAGGCGAAGGAACAGCTGGCTGTCACCAGGGTGGAGACTCTGCCGAGTGAGCATAAACGAAGGATGGAGGGCACTATGGGGCAGTGCATGCAGATGACCAGGAGTTCTAAACTGGGTTGGGAGGAAAGCAAGGAAAAAGGGGCTGGTCCCGGGGCTTGGAGGGCCTGGTGGTTTGAAGAGCACAGGGAAGTGCCACATGGGGAAGGGCCTGGCCTGAGGGAGGGATGCCTCGATCTAGACCTCGGAGGCAGTGCCTTCACCAGTAACAGGAGATATGCCTGGCTGTGAGGGGTAGAGGTGAAGATCGTTCCAAGTGAGGAGGCTGAGGAAGAGGCAAGGACACACCCCTGCTCTAGGCTCACTGCACATGGGGAGTGGGAGGAAAAAGATTCCACTTAAGAGGGCTGCAGGGGACTGAGCGGGCTTCAGTAAGGCCAGAAGGCAGAGGGAACTTCCTATTCTGAGAAGATGGTGGGAATCACAGGAATTTTGCTGCCAATAGACCATGAGTTCCAGAACGCACAGTGAGTTCTGGGGAGGGCACGGGAGTGCTCGTGAGACAAAGAGCAGAAGAGGGTCAGCCCAGATGGTCTCAGGGCAAGTGCCCATGACAGTCCAGGGCAACATGGGCGAGGCTGGGAGGTGGGGATGTGCCAGGAGCCTGTGGTTTCTTTTGGATCCCGCTGAGGGCAGTATCTAGGCTGGGGCACCATGTCTGCCTAAAGCTCAGTGGCAGGACAGAGAGGGCCCAGGGCTGCCTCGTGAGGTGCCAGGGGTTCTTGGGAAGGTAGGGAGGCCCAGGGCCAGGGCCTCCAAAGTAATGCTAAAGGGGTTCTGCTTCCAGAAGGGCCCGGACAACCTCAGAGGTCAGGGTGTTGAGCCAGGGGGCTCACCTTCCTCTCCTGCCAAGGGGCTGCTGGAAAGCTGGACCCAGCCAGCAGCCTCCCACCTCTGGGAGGTTTCCAGCCCCCATCCTTGGACTGTGGGTAGGGAGGAGCAGAGAGGGGAGTGGGCAGGCTGAGGGTCTGCCGTCCCCCAGGTACCTCACCATCCAGCTCCCGATAACAGGGTTCTCTCCTTGCCAAGGGAGGCTGGTGGCCAGGAGCATGGCTGAGTGGGTGATTCTACCTAACCCCCAAGCCTCCAAGGAGGGTGCCATGCCCAGTTCAAGGAACAATGTGTTGAGGTATAGAAAAGGCCACACAGCTGTGAGTGGCAGAACCTGATGATGTCAAAGCTCCCATCCCAGATGCCATCCTGCTGCACGGTCTGGTCTTCTGGCAGCTTCCGTGGCACAAGGGGTAGGGACAGGGAGGGCCCTGGAGGTGGGGCCAGGAAAGGCCCAAGAGCTCCCAGCTCCTGTGGGGGAGGGGCTAAACAGGAGAGAAGGCAGCCCCAGGCCTAGGCTCTCTGAAAATGAGACTTTATTATATAAAACTATTCTGTGTACCCCCAGCTCCCACCACCAGGCTGCCCTTCAGGCTGATGGCCAGCCGCCTGACTCCGGGAAGGCAGCCCTTCATTATCAGAAACTCTGCAGCCTGTGGAGCCTTCACTGGGGGAAGCCCTGGGCTGGGCTGGGCCGCGACACACCCTGTGTGTCCAAAGGCCCAGTGTCGTAGCCCAGCTTCCTCATGTCCTTGGTCACCACGTTGAAGAGGAGGGTGACAAAGCCCTGAGAACGGACACGGGTCACTGGGGACAGAAAGGACAGCATCAGTCAGGCTGGGATGGGGCAGAGACAGACCCAGGTTGATCTGGGAATCTCTCAGCCTCAGTGTTCTCATCTGTAAAATGGGGACAACAGCGCCTGACCCATGCCCCTCACTGGGAGGTAAAGGGGCTGCCAGGACAGGCAGACATGACAAACCCTCTGTGCTCCAACCAGGCCCTCATCTGGGAACATTTGTGGGCTAGCTCCCATGTGCCTGGCAGGTCCCCGGCATTCACCCCAACCCTGGGCCCATCTACTCCCAGGTTCTAACCTGTCTGGGGGCTGAGGGTAGAGGAGGGGAGGGAGCTTTACCTTCCCGGCCTTCACCCTGAGCCACCACCTTGGGGTCTGTGTACTCGGGTCGCCGCCCCATGAACCAGCTGGGAACACAGAAGAACACAGGTGAGCAGGGCCCCACCTGGGCATTCTTGGCCTTGGACGATGCTGGATGTGGGCTCTCTGTTCAGAAACCAGCACTCCTGCTCCAGCTGCACCCCACCCCCACCAGGAGTCAGGCCCTAAGCAGAGCCTTCCTGGTGGCCGGGCTCCAGCGTGGCGCTGTCCCTTGCCGGGGTCACACAGCCTAGCCAGGCCTCAGGCGCTCTGTGGCCACGCTGCCTCCGCTGGCCGGTTAGGCTTTTCCATCTCTGGCTTCCATGGGTTTGGTTCACTGGGAATGAGAGCTCAGGGAGATTCTGGGGTGGGGGTGCTGCCTGAACCCCCAGAAATCCCAGAAAAGTGACAGCAGCTGAGGTGGGGGAGGGGCGGGGACAGTGTGACCCTCCAGCCTTCCTGGAAGGGGGCCCTACCCCAGAGAGTCTGTGGGGTGGGCAGAAGGGCCCGAACTGGCCTCCTCAGCCTTGCCTCCCACTAGTGTGGGGTCCAGGACATGTCACTTCCCATCTTGGCACCCACCGCAGGCCCTGCCAGGGGTGGCCCACAGCCACCAGGCTGAGCATGTGTCCTCCCTAGCCCCAGACCCCAGTCGGGCCGGGCGGGAGGCCAGGAGGCCGGGGGTGTCAGGCCCCGCCGCCGACACACCCACGCGAGCCGGAAACAACCAGGAGCACTATTCCCGGCCGGGTGGGTCCGGCAGCCGCGGGCTTCGCCCCGCCGGGACTCGCGGCCGCGCCTCCTCTGCACCACAGCTCCCAGGGCCCCCCCCCCCCCCCCAAGGACACACCCAGCCCCTGAGGGTCACTGGCAACCGTGGCGACGCAACAGCCCACACACCGCCCTCCTGTCTCTGAGGTGGGCACCAGCGCTCACCTGGGGCTGCTGCAGAGGGGCCCAGGCCAGGGAGGGGCTCCCGGCTGCTGCAGAGTTGGCCTGTGGAGACCACAGCCAGGGAGCACTGCCCACCAGCCCCCAACCCCAAGGAGGAAGCCAGGGAGTGAAAGCCAGCGGGCGCTCCCCAGGGGGAAGGGATGGGCAGCCACAACCCCTGCGCCAGTTTCTCCCTCGGGAGAGCGAGGCTGTCACAGCACCCACCTCACAGGAGGCTGTGTGTGAGGACAGGGGCCTGGGAGCGACCCCACTGTGCCCAGCAGATCCCAGCCCGGCGCTCACATGGAGCTCCCGTTCCCACTGAATTTCTTTCCTGGGGTCCACCTGGGTGGTCTGCTTAGCTGGCTGGGGTGGGAGAGACAAGACAGACTGTTCTGGGAGGGCATTCCAGGCAAGGACCTGAGGCAGGGAAGGACCCCTCAGGCTGGAGGAACTGAGGCGGATGGGAAGCAAGTGGGCAGAGGCCATGGCGTGGGCAGGGCCCGACTACCAGCCTGGCAGCATTCTGGTTGAAGTTCATCCTGACAGAGGCACAGCCCGGGCGGGTTCTAGCAGGCGAGGGGTGCAACCCCAATTGTGTTTTAGGAACACCGTTTTTCTTGCTGTGTGAAGACTAGACTGGAGGGGTTGCAGCAGGCTGAATGGCGGCCCCTCAAAGACAGCAGATCCTAGTCCTGGGAAACCGTGCACGTGACCTTATTGAGAAACAGGGTCACGCGCACTTTGCAGATATGATTAGGCTAAGGATCTTGAGGCGACTATCCCGGTGGACCCTAAAGGTCATCACAAGTATCCTTATCAGAGAGGGAGACAGAGGAGGTGGCCCTGTGACCTTTGTAAAGGCAGGGACTCGAGTGGTGAGGCCATAAGCCAAGGAAGGGTGGGGCCCCCAGAAGCTGAAAGGGCAATAAACAGAGTCTCCACTAGAGCCTCGGGAGGGAGCACGGCCCGGTGGCGCCTTTCTGGGCCCAGTGACCTGGATTTTGAACTCTGGCCTTCAGCACTGTGAGGACATACATTTCTGCTGTTTTCAGCCATCACATTTGTGTGTCTTGTTGCAGCAGCCACCGTGGGAAACGAATACAGGGGTCAAGAGTGTTTGAGGCAGGCCCTGGGCCAGCGCTGGAGGATGTGGGGAGAGGCTCGGAGAGGGGTGGGGATAACCGAGGCCTCAGTCTGAGCAAGGAGCCTCCACATTTGGGAAGATTATGCCAATCAAACTGCCTTCACTAATAGACCCTTTCCCCCATTTTTGTAATCCAAGCACATACTGCCTTGCCCAGTTGTGAGCCCCTCCACAGGGGCTCTGAAACCCTTTCCTCAGCGAGCTGTTCCCTGAAGGCCCAAAGTCCTCCTTGGAGCTGTGGGCGGTGGAACAGGGTTAACAACCCAGCCCGGATGGCTGTGTGGGTCCCTAATCCCTTAGGCCTTCCCAACCCACTGACAGGCACTGTCTCGCTGCCTCCCTGACAGCCTGTGGCATGGGGATTGTCACCTCCAGGTGATACTGGCCCAGGTCATCTGGGAAAGAAGTCCTTTGCCATAGGGTGGCCTCCCAGAAGGACTCCTGGGGCAGTGGGCACACAAATTCTCAGGCTGAGGTCAGCGGAGACCCTGCCGTTCCTCCCCTCCACGGCTCTCAGAGCTCAGTGAGGCATTCTCGGCCCTGAGGCACGATGCTGTCCCTCCACCCAGCAGGGCTCTGGCCTGGTCTCACGCCCAGTAGTGGCCAGGCTCGCAGGGGCTGCTTGCTGGCTGCTGCCCTGGAACCCAGGGAGTCCTCCATGTTCCCCTTGTGCCTCACTGATCTGCTGGGGGGTGGCAGAGGCTTGCTGCCCAACTGTGCTAATGGGCCTCGAGTCAGAAGGCCAGGGCCCAGCTGGCCCTCTAAGCTCCCACTTGGATGTGGGCAGGAGTAAGAGGCCTTCCTGCTGGGGCTGCATCCCGGCATCCCCTGGGCCCTCTTTGCAGGCCCTTGTGTCCTGGCCCCTCCCTGCAGGCCCTTGTGTCCTGGTCCCTGCCTGCCTCCCTGATGTCTCCCTCATTCTGCCTGGCTTACCACTTACTGGCCACACTGCCGTCCTGGCCACACCGCCATCCTGGCTTCTCCTAGCATGCTAAGCTCATGCTGTCCTCAGCCTGGCAGGCACTGTTCCCTGTGCCTGGTGTTCTTCCCCGGCTCTTCCCTCCACACTAAGCCTCTGCGCAAATGTCAGCTCTAGCCAGAGACTCCCACATGTAAAGCCGTTGATCATGATTACTGTTCCAAGGTGTCTGACTCATACTGCTATATCCTCTTGTTTCCCACCTTTTAATGTCACATTATGTCATGAGTATTTTCCCATCTGACAAGAGTTTTTCTTCTGCTCCATCTGACACACAGATTTTTCACAGGGCACAGGTTAAAATTGCCCGGCCTCCTGCTGCTAGAACAGGGCTGAAGGGAGCCCCGTGACTCAGCACTCCCAGGGGACCTGTTTCTATTTGTCCCCAGTGGGTGGAGCAGCTTGCAGATCTGAGGAGGCGACCAGGCACAAACTGAGGGGTAGAATGGGACATCCGTTCATCCAGTAGATCAGAAGGAGGGGCTGGGGTGATGGGTGTAAGACTCACCTTGTAAACTTCTGCAGTTTAGATGTAGATTCTGGGACAAACATGGGGATGGTCCTTTTGTGCCTGAAACAAATGTTTTTGCAGACAGACGTGCTGAGTAACAGACCTTTCTGAGCCTCCAGGGAGAAGAAACGCTCAGATCAGGCCAGTACAGCTGCAGTGTGGGCCAAGTCAGGGCCAATGCCAATGAATCCAACCTGTGCTGAGCACCGCTGTGTCTGGGCCAGGTGCTGAGCGCTGGGAGACAGCCTCATGGAGAACAGAGTCCCTCGGGGTCTTGTCTTTTCTGGGGCCCATGACCTCCCCACCCCACCTGGTGTGTGGCTGGCACCAGCCATCCGAAAGGTTCTCCTCCCAAATACAGGCTACACCCCCCCAGCCACTAGGCTGAGCTGCCCAGGCCCCTGGGGACCCCAGAGCATTCCCAGCCTGAACCTAAGACAGAAAACGAGGTGAGGTCTGTCCTAGGACAAGTCCTGCCCAGGGCCCAGGTCAGAGTGAGGACCTACCGGCCAGGTGAGAAGGGCACGTGCACGGCCCCATAGCCTCGAACCACATCGTTCCCGAACACATCTGGTCCATACACGCTGAGCACGATCTGTGGCCCTTGGGAAGGACAAGGCAGGGGGTGGGCATGTGAAGACACACAGGGGAGGTACAGGGCAGACAACAGGGTGTGTCCAGCTGAGGGGGCTCCAAGGATGGAGCTCAAAGTCCTGGGGCGGCAGGCTTGAGAGGGGACAGGAGCAGGCATGGGAACCCAGACTCTGCCAAAGACTTCTGCCCACCCTGGTACTTCCTATGTCTCCACTGAGGCCTGGGCATGCGCTCCACACCCCGTCTTTTTTTGTTGTTGTTTTTGTTGAGACAGAGTCTTGCTCTGTCACCCAGGCTGGAGTGCAGCGGTGCTCACTACAAGCTCCACCGCCTCCCAGGTTCACACCATTCTCCTGCCTCAGCCTCCCTAGTAGCTGGGACTACAGGCGCCCACCACCACGCCTGGCTAATTTTTTTGTATTTTAGTAGAGACGGGGTTTCACCGTGTTCACCAGGATGGTCTTGATCTCCTGACCTCGTGATCCGCCCGCCTCGGCCTCCCAAAGTGCTGGGATTACAGGCTGAGCCACCGCGCCTGGCCCATACCCCTTCTCACCACTGTGGAGTCAGGGCCCACTCAGTCACTCTGTGTACAAGGAGGCACTTCCGGAGGCCTTATTGTGGGCCCAGGGCCCCAGCTATGATCAGGGCTGACTAAGGGCCTCTGCTCTCTGGGTGCTCCCTTCCTGGTGGAGGCAGGCTCATGGGACTGGGGTGGCGGGGGCTCATTTTGGGGGTGTCTAGGAGAAGTCAGAGAGAAAACAAAAACCTTCTGGGCATTCTCCTTTAAAATATTAGAGGTATTATAATAGGTGTGGTTGTTTTCACCATCGAAACACTGCTTCGTGTTGCCATCGAGGTGCATGAGGCGCTTTCACCTCGCCAGTTTCAGGTGAGGCACCGGCCTGCCAGGCTCTGATCCTGCAGCCGCGGCTGAGGCAAGTTGGCCAACCTCTCTGCCCCGTTTCGTCATCTCTAAAACACACGAAATAGCACCTAACGCATAGTAAGTGCTCAGTAAATGTGAGGGAGAGGTTTGTGCCCTTACCATTACTACCTTCCACCAAAGTTAACCATCATTCTGAATTTTATGAAACTACCTCTTTACTTTTCTTTAAGACTTCACTGCCAAAGAATGCATCCCAAAGCTGGTACTTTACTTTTACCAATTTTTTTTGAAACTTTATACAAAAGGAATTATACAGTATGTTTATTTTTGTGCCCAGCCTCTAATCCAAAATTATGTCCATGAGATTTTCTCAAATGGTTTCCTGTAAAGGGGTGTGTTCATGTTCCACACCATGTAACATTCTGCGTGGGAATCTGCCACAATGACCGTTCATTCCAGTGCTGATGGACACGTGGGCTGCCCTTCCTGTGGGGGCCACGCACACAGTGCTGAGCACCATGGTGCAGGCTCTCGGTACGTGCGTGCACACATCTCTGTTGCGCACACACCCAAGAAGGACACTGCACAGGGCCCATATATGTTCCCTCCCAAAAGGTAACACCAAGCTGCCAGCATGGTCCTATCAGCCAGCACTCCCCCAGCAGTGGTGTCTGATGCCTGCCCCTCTACACCTCACCAAAACATGACGTTACCAATCTTTTAAATTTGGGCCATCCTAGTGAGTGAACAGTGGTAGCTCACTGGAGCTTTAAATCACATTTTCCTTCATTTTAAATTTTTCTTACCGAAATAAGGTTGAGACCTTTACCTGTTTCTTGGTCACTTGGATGTTCTCTTTTGTGAAGAACCTACTCAAGTTTCTTGCCCGGTTTTCTACTGGATGGTCTTTTTCTTTTTTCTTCATTAAAAACATGTTTTTTGAGACAGGGTCCTGCTCTGTTGCTCAGGCTGGAGTGCAGTGGTGCAATCATGGGCTCACTGCAACCTCAACCTCTTGGGCTGAAGTGATCCTCCCGCCTCAGCCTCGCAAGTAGCTAGGACTACAGGCGTGTGCCACCACACCTGACTGATTTTTAAATTTTTTGTAGAGATGGGGTCTCACTATGTTGCCCAGGCTAGTCTCAAACTCTTGGGCTCAAGCGATCTTCCAGCCTCAGCCTCCTGTAAGTGCAGGGATTACAGACGTGAGTCGCCTTGCCTGGCCTGGCCTTTTTCTTACTGATTTATAGCGTGTATGTGTGTGTGTATCCTGGTACTTATCTTTTCACTTTTAGTGATGTCTTTGGATGAACATAAGCCCTTAATTTGAATGTAGTCAACGTCATTGATCTTTTCCTTTAGGGAGTCCTCCCAGAAAATCTTCTCTTCCCCTGATATCATGGCTATAGTCCTCTATGCTACATATCCATCTGAAATGGACTTGTGTGTATGAGGACAGGCTGAAGTTTTTTCCTATGTATATCAAATTGTCCCAGCACCATTTATTAAAAAGAACAGGCTGGGAGCAGTGGCTCATGCCTGTAATCCCAACACTTTGGGAGGCTGAGGTAGCAGATCACTTGAGGCCAGGAGTTCAAGGCCAGCCTGGGCAACGTGGCAAAACCCCATCTCTACTAAAAATACAAAAATTAGGCCAAGCGCAGTGACTCATGCCTGTAATCCCAGCACTTTGGGAGGCTGGGGCGGGCGGATCATCTGAAGATGGAAGTTCAAGACCAGCCTGGCCAACATGGTGAAACCCCATCTCTACTAAAAATACACAAATTGGCTGGGTATGGTGACATGTCCCTGTAGTCCCAGCTACTCGGGAGGCTGAGGCAGAATTGCTTGAACCCAGGAGGCAGAGGTTGCAGTGAGCTGAGATCGTGCCACTGCACTCCAGCCTGGGAGACAGAGCAGGACTCCACCTCAAAAAGAAAAAGAAAAACAAAAACAGAAACAAAAATTAGCCAGGCATGGTGGCACATGCCTGTAATCCCAGCTACTTGGAAGGCTGAGGCACCAGAATTGCTTGAACCCAGGAGGCAGAGGTTGCAGTGAGCCAAGATCGTGCCACTGCACTGCAGCCTGGGTGAGAGAGCGAGACTCTGTCTCAAAAAAAAAAAAAGAAAGAAAGGACCCTCTTTCCCCTCCTACTCTGCAGTGCCACCTTTGTCTGAATTGATGGTCTACATGTGCTTAAGTCAGTCTTGGGGATCTCTATGAATCTGTCTCTCCTTGTCCCAAAATTACATTGTCTTAAGTATTGTGCTTTATGATTGAAGTTTGCTATCTGGTAGAACAAGTTATATTTTGATATTATTATAAAGAATATATTTGGCCGGGCGCGGTGGCTCATGCCTGTAATCCCAGCACTTTGGGAGGCCGAGGTGGGCGGATCATGAGGTCAGGAGATTGAGACCATCTTGGCTAACACGGTGAAACCCCGTCTCTACTAAAAAATACAAAAAATTAGCGGGGCGTGGTGGCGGGCGCCTGTATTCCCAGCTACTCAGGAGGCTGAGGCAGGAGAATGGTGTGAACCCGGGAGGCGGAGCTTTTTTTTTTTGAGATGGAGTCTCGCTCTGTCGCCCAGGCTGGAGTGCAGTGGCCGGATCTCGGCTCACTGCAAGCTCCGCCTCCCGGGTTTACGCCATTCTCCTGCCTCAGCCTCCCGAGTAGCTGGGACTACAGGAGCCCGCCACCACGCCCGGCTAATTTTTTGTATTTTTAGTAGAGATGGGTTTCACCGTGTTAGCCAAGATGGTCTCGATCTCCTGACCTCATGATCCGCCCACCTTGGCCTCCCAAAGTGCTGGGATTACAGGCTTGAGCCACCGCACCCAGCCAAGAATATATTTTTAAAATACCATTTTCTATTTATTGTTGGCACACAGAAAGCAACTTTCTGTCAAGATACATTGATCTTATATCCAGAATCACACTAATCTATTAATTCTAACAATTCATCTATAGATTATTTTGAAATTCTACACAATCATGTTGTCTATGAATATTTTGTTCTTCCTTTCTAATTCTTATACCCTTTATTTGTACAGCATTGATGGTGATAACAAGCATGCTGATCTCAGAAAAATCTTTCAACATTTCACTAGTGAAAGTGATGTTTGCTCTAAGCTTTTCGTAGATAATCTGGATCAGGTTAGGGAAGTTTCCTTCTATTCCTAGTTAACTAAGCTTTTATCATGAATGGGAGTTGAATTTTACCATGTGTTTTCTTCATTTATGGGGATGATCATGATTTTTCTTTTCTTTTCTTTTCTTTTGACATGGAATCTCGCTCTGTCGCCCAGGCTGGAGTGCAGTGGTGCAATCTCGGCTCATGGGAACCTCTGCCTCCCAGGTTTAAGCGACTTTCCTGCCTCAGCTTCCTGTGTAGCTGGGATTACAGGCATGTGCCACCAAACCTGGCTAATTTTTGTATTTTGTATTTTTAGTAGAGATGGAGTTCCACCATGTTGGCCAGGCTCAAACTCCTGACCTCAAATGATCTGCCCGCCTCGCCCTCCCAAAGTGCTGGGATTACAGGTGTGAGCCACGATGCCCGGCCTGACTCTGACTTTTCTTCTTTTTAATGTGATGAATGACACTGATCAATTTTAGACTTTTTTTTTTTTTTTTTTTTTTAGAGACAGGGTCTTGCTATGTTTCCCAGGTTGGTCTCAAACTCCTGGCCTCAAGCAATCCTCCCACCGCAGCCTCCATATGAGCCACTGTGCCTGGCCAACTTTAGATGTCATAAAACCTTTGTATTTTTGGAATAAACCCTACATTTCATGATGTATTATCCTTTTTTTTTTTTTTTAATCTTGCTAGTTTCTGAATACTTCATTTGGGAGTTTGGGATTCAGTTTCTGAATATTTTGCTTGGGAGTTTTGCAACTATGTTCATGAGTGAGTTTCTTCTTTTTAATGTCCTCAGCAGGCTTTGGAATCAAAACTATCCTGAACTAAAAAAGTTGGGGATGTTTAATCTTTTCAATTGTAGGAGTTTGTGTAAGTCTGCTGTTACTTCCTCTTCTTTTTTTTCTTGCACTTCTGCCATGGAAGGTGTCATTCTTTAAATGCCTGGTGGAACTCAGTAATGAAGACATTCGGA